CATCCGTTGTTTCAAATCTTTCCTGCTCAGTGGACGTTACCAGCTCCTTGGCCTCTTTCATCTTAGGCAGTATGTCCAATTAGAGGAGCTTGGCACTAGGTCAAGCCAAACCAGAATCAGACCATGGGAGCTTGGAGCAGTTGGCTACCTTGGAATTTTGCCTCCAAGTCAGATTAATTTTAGACCATGCAAATCGAGGGCATCATTCCAGGTGATCTGAAGGCCAAATCAAAAAACGAGGAGGTGGAACGTCCATTCTGTGCATCCATCTGGGTCCCTTGCCTGCAGAACAGGTGACAAATTTGTTAAAATCCTCTTTTGGGAAACAAAACAAGGCAATTTCAAGGATGTGCCCATAATCTGGTGAGAGAGAGAGTGAGATAGAGAAGTTCCTTGATGATGGGCTTCAGTTACAAGGCAGGAATCTTGGAAGAATAAACCTTTGGTCCTGGTGATCCGATTCAGATCTCATCCTGCAACATTATCCTGGGACCCACAGATTTACCTTCATCCACAAGGAATGTGGATCAATCAATCAGAATAGAGCTGGAAGGGACCTTGGAGGTCTTCTAGTCCAACCCACTGCTTAAGGAGTAGATCCTATACCAGTGATGGCTAACTTTTTTGTCGTGTCCTCGCAAAACGCTTGCGAAGCGAACCGGTAGTAAAACCAGCAACAACCTACCCCTGCTGTGTGCGCCCTAACCCTAACCCATAATGCAATGTGGACGCCGCCACCACTACCAACGCCATGCCCCCCCCCCATGTATACATGTGCTCCCCCCTGCCCCCGTGCATGCATGTGTCACACACACACACACAACCTGCCTTGTATTAGTCCTCCCTGCAGCCTCCTGGGACCAAAAACAGACTAGGGGGAGGTGTGCCACCCCCTCGCACTCTCCCTGCCCATACGCATGTGCACACTATGCCCCCCCCACCCCCACGCATGCACGGCACAGGCCGGAAAATCAACTGGCTGGCAGGTTTGCGGGCATGCGTGGTAGAGCTGAGCTGGGGCGACGGCTCGCATGTTGGCAGAGACAACTCTCTGTGCCACCTGTAGCACATATATGCCACCGGTTCGCCCTCATGGCCCTATACCATTTCAGGCAGGTGGCTGTCCAGTCTCTTCTTTGAAACCTCCAGTGATGAAGCACCGACCATAAGCCATTCCACTGGTTAATTGTCCTCACCGTTAGGAAGTTTCTCCTTAATTCCAGATTGCTTCTCTCCTCCATTAATTTCCTTCCATCGTTTCTTGTCTTTCCCTCTGGTGCTTTGTAAAATAAATTGACCCCCCCTTTCCTCTTTGTGGCAGCCCCTCAAATACTGGAACATCTGCTATCATGTATCTCCCTCTCCTTCTTTTCTCTAGACTACCCATATCCAAATCCTGCAACCATTTTTCATGTTTTTTTTGTTTCCAAGCCCTTAATAAACTTTGTTGCTCTTAGCAACTTTCCAAAGGTATCAACCTCTTTTTTGTAAAGTGGCGACCAAAACTGGATGCTCTATTCCAGGTGTGGCCTTACTAAGGTTTTATAAACAGTGCTAATACTTCACGAGACTTTGATTCTCTCTGGGCTTAGTTGGAATTTCATTATCCAACTAAGTTAACTTCCGTTAACCCCTTTTGCACAGTGGTTAGAATGCAGTATTGATCAGCTCAAAAATGACTCAGCCTTCTGCCCTTCCGAGTTCAGTAAAATGAGGACCCAGATTGTTGGGGGCAAAAGGCTGACTCTGTAAACCGCTTAGAGGGGACGGTAAAAGCACTGTGAAGCGGTATATAAAGTCTAAGTGCTATTGCCATTGCTAACACCCTCAGTACTACAAAGAAGGGGTGTTTGCTCTCTTTAGCTTGCCATAAATGTTGGGATATATGTATGAGTGTTTGGAATGTTGGAATGTTTGGAATGTTTATTTAATTTGTATGCCGCCCCACTCCCGAGGGACTCGGGGCGGCTAACAACCAAAAATAGGAAGGGGGTACAAATAAGACAAAAGACAAACAGATTAAAAAACAACAACAGTCGCAACATTTCAAGTGGGGCTGGAAATCCATCAGCCCCAGGCCTGCCGGAACAATCAGGTCTTCGTGGCTTTGCGGAAAGCCTGGAGGGTGGTGAGGGTCCAGATCTCCACGGGGAGATCATTCCAGAGGGCCGGAGCAGCCACAGAGAAGGCTCTCCCCCGGGGGTTTGCCAGTCGGCACTGGCTGGCAGATGGAATTCGGAGGAGGCCTAATCTGTGGGATCTAATCGGTTTTAGGGAGGTAATTGGCAGGTAATTGGCAGGAGGCGGTCTCTCAACTACCCAGTAGTACCCAGTGTTTAGTAGTCCCTTGATTAGGCTGTTGTTTACTGCTGTTATTTATCTGAAATGGTAGTTCCTTGATTAGGGTATTGTTTACTGATTGTTTGTCTGGTGTTAATCCCTGCTTATCTGGGTGTTGATTGCTAGGGAGTGTTCTCCTGGTTTTTTTAGCTACCTTATTGTCTCTTTTGAATACTGTGTAAAAGGAAGCCTGGGTCCATGTCATAAAGAGCTTTAAGGGCGAGAGCTGTTCTGGAACTGGTGTACCTCTCCTTTGCCAAAGATTAAACTGAAGCTCGATCATCAGCTGTTGGAGCTACTGCAATACTCCAGGATCTGGAGTAATCTCTTTCACCTTTTACATTCTGTAGCTGCTTTCTCCAGGTGTATCCATAGGGATCACAAATGTCAAGATAGCAGCCACAGTAAGCGATCAGAGTCCTCCCCCTTCCTTAGAGGCCTGACTTCAACCACAGTTGTAGCCAACTTCTTGGTTTTTTTCAGGCCACGACCAACTCAAGAACTTCTGGAGTTTTGCTTTCTTGCAAAGTAAGAGCAGATATTTGGTTCCATTTTCATCTTTTGAGCCCTCATTGCCACACTTTTAAGTATCAGATGCCTATGTTCTACCATGAAGAATTCAAACTACTCTTGAGAAATCTTTTCTTCATGGATTTATGGAGGCCACTTTATACCTGCTGACATACTAGCTCTAGATAAGAACTACTTACCTGGAAATGCTCTACTACTTCATCCTCGTTGCAAGTCAACTCCAAGCCAGTGACTGACAGAGGATGGTGGTGACGGTTACTTGGTTCTACCAAGAACTCAAAAGTTATTTGAAGTTCTCCTTTTACTTTATCATTTAATTCACCATTTTTATAGGTAAAGGTTCCCCTCGCACATATGTGCTAGTCGTTCTCCACCCTAGGGGGCGGCGCTCATCTCCGTTTCAAAGCCGAAGAGCCAGCGCTGTCTAAAGACGTCTCCATGGTCATGTGGCCGGCACGACTAAATGCCGAAGGTGCCCAGAATGCTGTTACCTTCCCACCAAAGGTGGTTCCTATTTTTACTATTTGCATTTTTACAAGCTTTCAAACTGCTAGGTTGGCAGAAGCTGGCACAAGTAAAGGGAGCTCACTCTGTTAGGCAGCACTAGGGATTCGAACTGCCGAACTACCGTCCTTTCTGATCGGCAAGCTCAACTTCTTAGCCACTGAGCCACCGCGTTCCATCATTTTTATAGCCATCCCCAATTAAAATAACCCAACTATCTCCTAAGATGAATGTCAAAAACTTTCAATTAGGATTGAAGGCTTGATAGAATTAGCCATTCAATGATCTGTTTAAATAAAACGAAGGAGTTATGTTGACAGATGAGTTGGGCAAATGCAGGCATCACCAAGGCTGGCATTGTCTATGCACATCTACCCTCACGTGAAGTGAGAATATTTAGTTTTTAATACAAACGAAGGCAAATGTACACGTCCCAGGATAATGTTGAAGGATCCAATCTGGGTTGGTCCCTGGGACCGGTGGTTTTATCTTCTGAGCTTTTGGCCTTGTGCTGGAGCCCATCTTCAGAGAACTTCTCTCAAGTAGAGTGTGTGCTGTTCTCTGTGTGTGGTATTTATAGTGCCTGTTGTAAGTGGCTTTTTAGATGTGAATTGGGGTGTGTTGATGGCTGGTTTTTAAGTCATTAGCTGTCATTTGCTTGTGCTGCCCAGCCCTGGTCTTCTAAGTACTTGAAAAGCTGAGGGTAAATCAGCATTCCTGTTGACAGGCAAGGAGACTGTTTCCCAGGCTTCAATTACTTCCCTGGCTGTTTTTGGGCCTGCTCGTCCAACAATCTTAAGTTGCTGCAAAATTGAATGTGAGTCCTTGTTTACTGCTGTGTGAGGCTACCAATGAGTTCACATCCCCTTGTCTGACCACTCACTTGTGTTCTTGTAATCTGGTGGTTAGCTTCCTTCCTATCTGTCCTACATGGTTACAGAGGCAATCCATGAAGGGAATGAGGTAGATTACATTACTTTTTAGTTTTCAAACATTCATGATATAGTCTCACCAGACAGGCAATCCGATGTTGGTAAAGTGGTGTCTGGTCTAAGCCAGTCTTATCTTATGTAAGCCTTGGTAAAATCAGCGCTTTGAACTGTGTCCAAGGGAGAAATATTGAGAGGTTCCATGACTAAGGCTAGGCTAGAACCTGCTGCAAGTTCAACACCTGAGCCCAGTCTTTCTCAACCTTGGCAACTTTTAATATGTGGGGACTTCAACTCCCAGAATTCCCCAGCCAGCTTTTGCAAGAAGACCTGAAAAGTCTGTCCCAACTCTGTCATTCTCTATTCTGACTCTCAAAGGTTAGGCCTTCACACAGAGAGAGACGGGTGTTCGTTTTGTCTGGTATCATTCTGCCTGCAGAACCATTGTCTCTGCTCATGCCAACTGCCAATGCCCTATCCTGAAGAATTAAAGTAAAAAGGAGAAATGCACATCAACCAACCTCCATCCCCTAGTGCAAGGGGGGGATCGCATCTCACATCCTATCACGGATCTTTGTATAATCCCATCCAGAGTCTCTTACAGGCCAGGCCCAGATGAAGATAAATGGAATTTAGCATTTGGATTATTTCACAGGGGACTCTGCTTTAACTGAAAGCTAGGACATCCACCGCAGGAACGTTTTTCAGAGAACGATTTTAATAATCAAATCCATCGTTTGTCAAAAGATGCGCTTTAGGGAACCTGACTTGCCAAAGCGTGCCATAACATAGTTCTTGCAATCGTTCTACGGTATGCTCAGCATTTCCAACAAGGGGGAAAATCAGAACCTTGGGAAGAGTCTTTCTGGCAAAAGGTCACAGAGTCGATAAAAACTGGTTGTAAACAGAATCACAGAGTTATTAGGAGGATTCTTCCTTTGGCTTTTCACTGGGCTCCGTTTTTGGCTCTGGGTTTTCGGTGCTGATCTCCTCTTGCTGAAATATCTCTTGAAGCTCTAATACAGGCACGGATGATGGAGGCATCGGAGCCACCTATCGGAAAAAAGCAGAGTTACAGCGTAATGTGCAAAAGTGAAACCAGAAAATGAATCTTTCCAGGCCAAAGTGACACAGGTTTAGTTCTGGATCAGGTGCCGATTAACCCGTCAAACCAACCAATTATCATCCTCTCTTCTACACACAAAGGGAGTCAAATCAGAAGCAACATCAATAGGATGTCAAAGTCACAAGTGGCAAGGACAATACATGTACCATATTTTTCGGAGTATAAGACGTACCTTTTCCCCTCAAAAAAGAGACTGGAAATCTGGGTGCGTCTTATACACTGAATACAGCATTTTTTTGCCTCCCGAAATCCCTCCCCCTCCACCAAAATGGATGTGCATACCCTCTAGGAAGCTTTTAGAGAGCTCCTGGGGAGCCAGGGGCTGGGGAGGGCAGAAATGAGCAAAAAACGGCCTGTTTTTTGCTCAATTTTACACCCCCTCAGCCCCCAGGAGCACTCTATAAACTTCCTAAAGGCTATCCATGTCCCTTTTTTTTTTTAACGAAAAACAGGCTGTTCTTTGCTCTTTCCCCCTCCCTAGGAGCACTCTGCAAGTTCCCTAAATGCTATTCATTCCTTTTGGGGGGGGGGGGAAATGGGCGAAAAATGGGCCATTTTNAGCCGACTCATAGGGTCCCTCGCTATCGGAGTCTACTTGCAGCTCCAACAGCTCCTGCTGGGCCACAACATAAGCCCTACCCCCCAAAATAAGCCCCAGTTAAGGTAGTCAGCCAGACAGATGCATTTAGTACCATATTTTCCCCAAAATGAGACCTAACTGAAAAATAAGCCCTAATGCATCTTTTGGAGCAAAAATTAATATAAGATCCGGTCTTATTTTCAGGGAAACAGGGTATGAAGCACTAGAAGAAAAAGTCATAACTAAGTTCTTGATGTTCTCCAAAATCTACCCACTTAATCCTGAGCTGCATGTACTCGACGTATGACAATTGAGCCCAACATTTCTGTTGTTAAGTGAGACATTTGGTGAGTTTCGCCCCATTTTGCAACTTTTCTTACCATGGTTGTTAAGTGAATCACTGCCGCTTATAAGTTAGGAACCTGGTTGTTAAGCAAATCTGGCTTCCCCATTGAGTTTGCTTGTCAGATTGTTTGGGGGGTGGGTGGGAATAGGCTGACTCTGTAAACCGCCTAGAGAGGGCTGGAAAGCACTGTGAAGCGGTATACAAGTCTTAAGTGCTAGTGCTATCTGTAGTCTCCATTCTCCAACCATTCATGCCATCATGATTGCAATGATAGGTTTATCATTCAGAAACTTCTCTTTGAAGGTCATTGAAGTGGGTGGCCGTCTCATTGAAAAAACGGTTAGAACCGGAATTCTAAAGAACCTTGAAATCTTGAATAAAAAGGGACCGTCCAATCCATCATTGGAAACCCTACAGTGCCATCTAGTGGAGGAAACAGAACCAGCACCTTTTGATACTTGGAATTTTCTGCCCTTCCAGCAAGTGACATTTGCAGAACAATCAATATCTCATTATTGGCCATAATCACTAGCCAGTTGCTTGGCTTTTGTGGAAGCGGGCCTCTATAAGAAACACTTTTTGTGTCCGTCTCCGGTGTGTTTGGCAGACTCTTTGTCCTGCAAGTCGGTGGCCTGATTGACAGGGATCGTTTTACACCCACACGTCACCCCACTCAAGGTTAGAACTGCATTTTTTTTTATTATTATTATTTGCCGTCCGCTCTCAAAAGGAAGAGTGTTTAAAAACACACGCCGAATCATAACTTTAAACCAGGCGAGAAACCGGGTGACCTTTCGCTAACTGCTGGAAGGAAAATGCTTGATAAATAAGTAAATAGGTCAGCCTTGGGGGTGGTTTGCCTTGCAACCTTTTAATTAAAATACTTCAGCTTGGAAGGTTGCGATGAATGACAAAGCCCCTACCCCGAGCATGAATTAAACACGGGGTGTTTCCTTCCGGGCTGCCTTTCATTCTGCAGGCAAAAGGGAAAATTTCCCTGGGTCTCGGCATCTTTTCAAAGGTGACTTACCGCATTTGCTGTCCTTAGCAGGCATCGAGAGGACATAACAGAATGAAGATCACTTAGCCACTAAGATCCAAGTAAGTTTTGGGCAGCGAGGTTAGCCAACGAACCAACTTCCAATCATCCTTGACTTACAACTGTTCACTTACCGGCTTTTCAAAGTGGGACTGGAAAAAGTTACTTGCAGATTAACAGAGTTGGAGGCAGAAGTGATATTGAGCCAGCTCTGACAGGTTCTGGAGAACTGGTAGCAGTAATGTTGAGTAGTTTGGAGAACCGGCAAACAGGCTGGCCCCACCCCACTGCCTCCAGGGGTGGGTTCCTGCCAGTTCCAGGGTGGATTCCTGCCAGTTCTAACCTCTTCTATAGAAGAGATTCCACAAATCTTCAGTGCCATTTTGAACCGGTTCCAGCTCCCTCCCTCTGCCCGTCCGCACATCATCAAGATTAAGAGCGAGAGGAGGAATTCTGGGAGTTGAAGTCC